TAGAGAGTCTCATATGTTGTAACTTTCGTATACTAATGGGAATTTTTAATTATAGAACTTGGCTTGTATATTCCAATGACGGGCTTCCTCAATTGCCCGAGGTCTTGAGCAAGAAAGTTGGATGCACACCCACATTGTTTTTATATTGAGCTTGCATACACCTACATCTCTTAACATATCCGTTGCATGGCAATCCCTACTCCTCGCATTGACATCAATTGACTAGCATCTCCATAGCCCGTTGATTAGCCGTGTCGATGTGAGTCTTTCTTCCTTTTTTGTCTTTTCCATATTAATCTCTATCACCATATTCTATTCCATCCGTAGTGCTATATCCATGGCTTTGTGCTCATGTATTGCGCGGGGGTTGAAAAAGCTGAAGCATGTTAAAATGAATGAACCAATTGCTCGGCTTGTCATCGGGGTTGTGCATGATAAATACTTTGTGTTAAGAAGATGGGGCATGACAAGAATATATGATTTTATAGGGATAACATTCTTTAGCATTGATATTTTGAAAGACATGATTGTTTATTGGGATGCCTGAGTATTGATGTCTTTATGTCAAAATATAGACTATTGCTTTGAATCCGTCGTGTCTTAATATTCATGCCATGATTATATTATATGATCAAGATTATGCTGGGTAGCATTTCACATCATTTACCTACTCGAGGATGGGCATGAATTAAGTTTGGGGATGCTGATATGTTTCCATCGTATTTATAATTTTTGATTGTTTTATGCCAATATTCTACAACTTTTATATACTTTTGGCAATATTTTATATTTTTTCTAGGACTAACATATTGATCTAGTGCCCAGTGCCAGTTCCTTTTTGTTGCATGTTTTTTGTTTCGCAGAATATCCATATCAAGCGAATTCCAAACGCGATAAATATTTATGGAGATTTATTTTGGAATGTATGTGAATTTTTGGAAGAATAATCGATGCAAGATGGTGCTCGAGGGGCCCACTAGCCATCAGGGTGCGCCTAGGGGGTAGGACGCACCATGGTTCCTAGTGAGCACCTCGTAAGTCAGTTGACCCCCCAAGAAAGATAATATTCGGAAAACATTCATGTTCAAATTTCACCTTGATCGGAGTTATGGATCTCCGGGAATTTAAGAAACGGTGAAAGGCGAGAAAACGGGAACGCGAAACAGAAGAGAATAGAGAGAGAGAGAGAGAGATCCCATCTCGGATGGGCTCTCGCCCCTACGGGTGCCATGGAGGCCAAGGTCCAGAGGGGAAAACCTCCTCCCATCTAGGGGGAGGCCAATCAAGAAGAAAAAGGAGGGGGATCTCTCCCCTCCCTCTCGGTAGCGCCCGAACGCCGCCGGGGAAAATATCATGATGGCGATCTACACCAACAACTTCGCCGCCGTCACCAGCAACTCTCTCCCCCTCTATGCAGCGGTGTAACACCTCTTCTCCCCACTGCAATATCTACTTAAACATGGTGCTTAATGCTACATATTATTATCCAATGATGTGTTGCCATCCTATGATGTTTGAGTAGATTATTTTTGTCCTATGGGTTGATTGATGATCGTGATTGGTTTGAGTTGTATGCTTTATTTTGGTTCTGTCCTATGGTGCCCTCTGTTTTGCGCAAGTGTGTGGGATTCCCCCTGTAGGATGTTGCAATACATTCATGTTTCTCTTATATTGGGTGGCGTGAGTAACGGGAACGCATACCCGAGTAAGTGGGTTGTCACATATGGGAGTAAAGAGGACTTGATACTTAATGCTATGGTTGGGTTTTACCTTAATGATCTTTGGTAGTTGCGGATGCTTGCTAGAGTTCCAATCATAAATGCATATGATCCAAGTAAGGAAAGTATGTCAGCTCATGCCTCTCCCTCATATAAAATTTCAATAATAATTACCGGTCTAGTTATCGATTACCTAGGGACAAATAAATTTCTTGTGTTATAAAAATCTTTCTACTAAACAACTAACTTTTATTATCTTGCAAATTACTCGTAGTTTTATTTCCGGTAAGTACATCTAGTTTTATTCTTGCAAACCTATGCCTACACCTACAAATTAGTTTCATACTTGTTCTATGTAAAGCGAACGTTACGTGTGCGTAGAGTTGTATCGGTGGTCGATATAACTTGAAGGGAATATTGATTCTACATTTAACTCCTCGTTGGGTTTGATACTCTTATTTATCGGAAAAGCTACAATTGATTCCCTATACTTGTGGGTTATCACGCTCCTATATTTACCCACACTACTTACCCAGCACCACACTCAAACCGTCTTTCACCACCTCTCCTCTTCCACCTCTCTGTTTCACCACCTCTCCCTCGCCATGAACTCCAACTCCAATCCCAACCCTTTCCTCTAGGGCATTGGATGAGGGCCCTTCTTCCTCGGGTGTTTGCTGGGTGACCGTGTGAAGTTCGAGAACACCATGGAAGTGTGCTCGAACTTCAGCAACATCGAAGACATGCACAAGGCCGACGCTGTGATTTAGAATGCTATGCTGAACGTGCTGAAGACATTGATTCCTAACCCAGCCAAGGGAGCAATGTCAATGGACATCCTGCGCTGGGCCATGAATCAGGCAAACTCCGGCGACGCTGGACAGAGGGCAAAATGGGCCAAGTACAGGGAGTACAAGGTGCCTCAAGACCATCGCGGCGCAACGTACCGGACTAGAACGTTCGTGTTGCCGGAGGACAACAATGACGTGGTGCAGATGGTGGCCAAGGCACCGATGGCATGCTACCATGCAAGACCCATTGTTCTTGACGAAGACGATGAGGACGAAAAGAAGATAGCTATGCCCCCCCCCCCCGCGCGCTCGATGCGACTCCAGGGTCGTCGCAGGTAGACAAGAAAGTTTGTACCCCAATCCCCACCCTGATGTAATCGAAAAATGACCCTATGAACCCTAGAAGCCGTCGGTGCAGGATTGATGGATTGGAGTGTTCATCGGCAGTGTTTTCCCTAATCCCTCACCCCCGATATGTTCAATCCCCTCCCTAACTCTTCAACCGTGTGTGCAAATCAAATCTAACCCGAGTCGAAAGCAGTAAATCTAGAGATAGGGCAAAGACTTGCATGCCATGGCTGATGCGCTCCGATGAATTCTACAGTCCCTCCGGTGGTAGTCGTCATCTTGAATCATCCTGCAGTCGCTCCGGTGGTCACCACTGCCGGTGTTAGTTGGGAAGAGGGGAGAGAGCGGTGAGGGTAATTTATGATGACGCTTCGGGAAACAACGCGATGTAGAGACCGCATCCACGCGTGCAACCGCCCATGCCCACGTGCCGAGGGTTGCATCGCTCGGGCCTGGCTCCAGAAAAACAGCTGATTTGGGCGTTCCTATGGATGCATGTTAGCAGGCTTGCCAATACCACGCCATCCTCCCAACCATCAGCCGCGGCCGACGAAGGAACGGCCCAAGGCCCAGCCAGGAGAGCCTGCAAGCCCAACAAATGACTGGTTGGCGAGGAGCGGGTGAACACGACCCAGGAAGCATAAAGCAGGGGATCGATCTCCGGACAGGCATTGGGGGACTCGATCAGAACTGGCGACGGCGGCTTTCTCTCCTACCTCGCTGTCAACCCTACCCTCAATTCTTGCTTCTTCCAATTCCAGCACAATTGTGTGTATATCCAGTTGTAAGCTGAACCTGTAGGCTGTAGCTACTCTGAATTCTCCCAAACCTGAACCTACAGCTACTCTGAATCCCTTATGTGCAAGGCGTCTCTGAGGAGCTGAAGCAGTAGCTAACACTTGGTATCAGAGCCAGCATTGTCATGCCTTCCTGAGGGGCTTCTTAGGGGGATGGGATGTTTGGGCTGTTGTAGGCCGGTGAGGCTGGCTCAGTTTAGTCCCACGTCGCATACGGGAGGAGGCCACAACCAACTTACAAGGGAGAGATTCCTTCCTCTCTTCAGCCCGACCTTTTGAGATGGAGCGGGCTCTCCGCTGAATACTGGTCGGTGTGCGCGTAAACGTTCAGAACGTGTGCGAGTGTGGGCTAGACCAAATTGGACGCTAACAATGCAGACCCATCGATGCTTTAAAATTCATGCTATACAAGCTTAAGAGCGAATGCTGATAATCAAACAGACCAAAATCTTCGCGCGTGGGCCTGACTGGGTATATTCGGGCTACCAACCGCATCCCGGGGAAGCGGGTAGCCTCGCTTCACGGAGGAGTGGTGGGAGGACTGCTCGACGCCCTGGAGCACACATGGGACGGCCGGAGCCGCGTCCAGTGGCATGCTTCTGCCAACGAGCGATGGCAACGTGGAGCAGCGGCGCTGGCAAGCTGGTCGTCTTCACGCTGAACGTGTTTGCCTCGTCTGCGAAACGTGTCTCTCACTCTGCCATGAAGTAGAATGGCAAATGCAGTAAAGCTCGGCGTCAGTCAGCACGGCCATGTCAATGGGGGCGCCATGCAGACAGGGCCGTCGGATTGAGCAGCGCACTGGCACATCACCGCCCCATGAGTGCCATTGGCTTCCACTGAAGATTCTGTCATCTTATAGCTACCCGTCAGAAGAAAAATGAAATGTGTTTCAAATATGTCTGCAAATTGTCATATTCTCTGGACGCTTGGCTCCAATGGTATGGATACGCGCATAATCACTCACAACATTTGCGGCTGTGGCTTCACGTGGCCCCGGGTCAAACTAAATCCAAAGAACGTAACAAGCCCAACGTGAGCAAATGTGAGAAATTCAGTATCGATACAAGTTATTACATCCGCCACTGGGGCTATAGTACAACTGTACAAGAGTATCATCGAATCCGATATGAATGCAGAACTATTGAGCTATACAGCTTATCCGAGAATTCTGGAATCAGATCATTTTGGTGGTACAATGGTGCCATTTTCTACAATACATTTACAGTGTCAATTTCTTCATGAGCGGCAAGCAAATATTTACCTATTTTGCTTCAAATTTACAGACACCCAATCCCCTTGCTCCGATGCTGAAGATGAGCATCAGGCACTCGTCGAGTTTGGCATCAGGTTTTCTCCTCCACGGAATTGAAGTAATCCTGGAGCCACCTGACATGAACCTCCAGCCCGGCTTCTCGGAGGCTGTTGAGGACGATCATGTACAGCCTCCTGTCCAGCTTGGTGTCCTGCAGCTTCATGTCCCTCAGCAGCTGGATGAGGTCGTTGAACCGGCTGGTCTTGCAGAACACCCCCACCATGAGGCCGGCCAGGGTCTTGTCCACCGTCCCTCCCGTCTCCCTGAACTCCTGGTAGTAGTCCATGCACCGGTCCAGCTCCCCCGACCGGTTGAACGCGCCGACGATGGCCGTGTAGCTCACCCGGTCGGGCTGCACCTTGCGCCGCATCATCTCCTTCCAGATCTTCTCGGCCTGCCTCGAGTCCCCGAGCTTGCCGCGCATGTCCAGGAGCGAGTTGTACACCCACACGTTGGGTTCGCACCCCTTCTGCTTCATCAGCGCCAGCAGCCTCGTGGCGTCCGAGGCCCTCCTGATCTGCCCGTACATGGAGATCATGTTGCCGTACGCCACCACGCACTTGTCGAAGCCCCGGTCGATCATCTCCGAGAAGACGGACTCCGCCCTGTCGCTCCGCCCCAGCCGGCAGTACACGTTGATCGCCGACGCGTACGTGACCTGGCCGGGCTCGCACCCCATGGCGACCAGCTTGTCATACGCTCTGATGGCTGGCTTGAGGCCTCTCCTCTTCACGAAGCCGTTGACGATTGTGGACATGACGCAGTCGGTGACCCTCAGGCCGATCTCCCTCATGTCCTTGGCCACGCCGAGCGTGTCCTCCAGTAGCCCGGTCTCGACTTGCATGATGATCACCTTCAGGAACATGTCTGGATCTCGCAGCATCCCCTTCTTCCATGCCTCGTGGTACACGTCCTCCGACGACGCCGTCTCTCGGGCGTCCGCCAGAGAGCCGATGACCGTGGAGTAGATCGCGGCGTCCGGCGAGATGCCGTCTGCCTCCATCTCCCGCAGGCACTTGAGCGCGTCCAGGGCTCTGCCTGCCCGCCCCAGCGCGTCGCAGGCGATGGTGTACGTCTCGAGGCAGGTCTCGGAGGGGTACCATTTCCGAGACCTGTACTGCTTGAACAGCGAGGCCACCGTGTCCGGCTCGCCCAGCGCCCCGAACGCCGCCATCACGGCGCGGTAAGCGTCGGCGTTCACCGACAGGCAGGCCGCCTTCATCCGCTCGTACAGCAGCACCGTGCTCCGGTACATGTGCAGCTTGTTGTACGCCTGCAACGCGGAGCTGAAGCACACGGCGGCGGCCGGGCCCTTCTTCCCTTCGAGAACGCCGAGCACCACGTCGGCGAGGCCGAACTTCCTCGCCTTGACGCAGGTCGCAACGAGCCGCGCGCACGTCCGTCTCTCCGGGAGCACATCATAGGCCATGAAATCTTGGACCAGATGCTCCAGCGAGCTCCACTGCTTGGACCGGAGCAGCTGCACGGTGAGCGCATTCATCGTCTTCTTGTCCGGCCGGAACTCGGGCTGCTGCAGCGCCCTCCGGTAGCACTCGAAGGCGAGCGGCTCGGTCTGCCGGTCGCTGCAGAGGCCCCGGATGAACTTGTTGGAGATGCCGAGCTTCGCAGCATCCGGAAGCGTAGGCACCGGCGCCGCCTTGGCCGGCGACGCCGGAGCGGAAAGAACATGGAGCTCCCCGGGCAAATTCTTGGGCTCAAGAACGGGGGAAGCGCAGGAGCGGGAGCAGTGCAGGACGAAGGACGCGAGCTGCCGCTTGATCGTGCAGAGGGAGGTGTTGGGCGACGATCTTCTCGATGGATGGAGAGGGGGGAGGGGAGGCCAGTCGGAGTAGCATTTGGCCATGATTCACGATGGGAACTGGAGGCTGGGAATGGAAGAACCACGCTTGTTCGGGATGAAGGCACCTTATCCTGCCATGGAGGAGATTCCGTCGCGCTGGTTTTTACGAGCATCTGCGGGTGGAAACTGTCTGATTCGGACGGGCGGGATCTGGCCACGTGAGCTCTCGTAGAAATCTCAGGACATCCATGACGTGGAGGTCCAGTTACCCGGCAAGTGAAAGAAGCTCAGAATTTGGGGGCAAACGGGGGAAGCCACGGCCTCATTTGGTCTCTGGAGGGGCTTGGCCCACGTAGCTCGTGCCCGGTGGACAGCCACCAGTTAACTTGTGATGCTACGTGTCTGAAGTGTTGGCAGGCGAATTTGGGGTCCAAGACATCCTGAAAGCTACCAACAGATTGTCCAAGGCAAAATTGGACTTGTGGTATTTGACTTGTTTTCTGTGGAAACATCACAAACTCAAGCACTTACGAGAGCCACAAGATTCTGCCAATGTTCTGGCGACCCAACAGCCAGATAAATTTGAAACATGCAATTTTCATCAATATATAGGTACTTGTTTCCGGCTTCATTGTTGGGTTCCATTGATAGAATTCAATAATTTGCTTCCGCATTTCGCACAACCGAAGAACGCCCATTATATCACGTAGGAATAAATAGATAAACTGATTCATATAATATTTGTGGCAGTCGTGTCGCGTCGGAAAGTGGACTGGAATATACCGGTGTGGATGGCGTGGCTTGGCTTGGTTGTTGCTGAAGAACAATTGTAGTTGTCGCTACACACTGGCGTAGGCAGGGGGACTGGTAGGGGTCGTGCCCTCCTCCCACCCCCACTCCCCCAAGCTCTAAGAAAATACACCTCCGTATGCTCCTAATTCTCTATTTGTCCAAGAAAAATTGGCTAGATCTAGGTGATTTAGCACCTCCTAACATTATATGACACGTTTAGCTCTCCCTATGTTAGAGTTCTAGCTCCGCCACTTCTGCCACACATAGTATGATGTGCTCGCAGGGGGCATCGTTGTGGCGACCGGTTTTCCGGGTATTAATTCCCAGAAAATGGCCCTTGTGCTCATCAGCCCCAGGATTACTATTAGCTGATGAGGCACCAACTTGATACAGAAATTCCAAGCAAAACACAAAATATGTAGTACAAGACCATTCTGGTCTGTGAGTACAACAAATGGTTTCTAGTGGTTGATGGCGGAAGCGGGTTGTGAATCATCAGTGTCTATGGGACTCCATTTCCCATAGGAACAGCTGACCAGGTTAACTCCTATCTTCGCGAGGCTGCTATTACCGTTGCTTAGGTTCCGGGGCTGTCATCACGGTCGCTCCTCTCCGCGCAAGAAATCTGGCCAAGACAATAGCCAGGGACAAGCCAGTGAGTACTTTGAATGTACTCGCAAACATTATGAACATGGGTATAATATAACAACGATGTTCTGAACTATTTTATGCTCACGACGTCAGTCACAAAAGATAATAAAAACTCGGATGCATGCAAGCAGGTTATTTATGAATATGCAATAACATATTAATAATAAAAATGGACCGATCGGGTGTCTGAAGCGACGCCTCGAAAGGTTAGCAAACAAAGAGAAATGCCTCAGTCGAGCGTATGAGCGACACCACATAAAGGGCTTATAAAGAAAATGAATAACAACATGCCACAGTCGGGCGTCTGAGCAACACCACATAAAGGGCTTATAAAGAAAATAAATAACAACATGACACAGTCGGGCGTCTGAGCGACACCACATAAAGGGCTTATAAAGAAAATAAATAACAACATGCCACAGTCGGGCGTCTGAGCGAAACCACATAAAGGAATAACTAAATATAGTGAATATCCAGGAGGTAAAACCATCCAAAGGATACTTGATAATTAAAATAATATAACGGGTTAGTCCATAACAAAATAATAATCATAGTCATCACAAGTCACAAGTCACGATCCATGTTCTGGTTTAACAGTTTCTCCTCCGAAGACCGACACTAAGATCGACACTTGACCCATCCCAGACTATAGTCCTTAACCATGGACACGGCTATTCGAATAGGTTTAATCTCTGCAGAGGGTGTACTCTTTACCCACGAGTAACGGATTCCTTTAGTCCATCGGGACTAATTCCGTCTACGGTCTTTTAAATAAAAACGCACCTGACTTGCACACACCAGCTTAACTCACCGGTGTCTGGAATCACCCACGACACTCGTTAAGCAAAACTCTAAGTGGGGAGGCTACAACCTCGATTAGCATGGGATCACAAAATTTATACCGCGCGCAAAACTAGGGAAGCTACCCCCTCGGCTACAACCGAAACACCCATGCCCCCTGACCGGATGACTGGCTTTAATCCATGGCCGTGGTACCCTCATCCCGGCCCCTCTGTACGGTGTGTGCTAGAAAGGGTTGACAAATTACTGAACCGAACTCTACTTGTTGTAGAGACGAGTGGTAGTAAGAAACAAGTATGTGGGTTACTGGAACAAGACTCGATCTATGGTCGACTCAGAAGGTTTAAATATTCCCTGCAAGATTAGCATAACGAGTATATTTCATCCAACAGACAGAATCACCACTCATCATACCCTTCATGCCATGCCGGACACACACGTCTCGACGAGCAACTAGGGACAAGCTCGGGTCTACCCAAGACAGAGGCTTTCCCGTTATTCTTCCGGTAGGCACGAAAGGCATACGAGGATGATCACTATCACAAGCCTGTCCATTTCCAACAGCAAGGAAATTTCCAATGAGCATTCATGCAAATGACCACATCACCACATAAAATAACGAGTTCTACGTATTGAGGTGGTGTCATGATCGTGTCAAACAATGCATGCAAAATATTATGCCAGGGTTCAGAATGCTTGCCTTCAATGTGTGGAAAGGCAGGGTGCACTCCAAAACTTTTGAAAGTTTTCTTCTCTCTCTCGAAAGTCCTATTTTAAATAAAATTGAATTAACACACAAATTCAAAACAGCACAAGAAGTTGTTTTGAAATTTTTTCAAATAAATCTTAAAATAAACTAGATTAAATTTGAGAGAGGTAGGAAAAAGAATCAATTCATTTGGAGTTGTCATTAAAAAGTTATAGGCAGTCAAAGCTGTGGTCAAAATTTGTTTTAAAAAAATAAAATAGAAAAAGAAAACGCTTCGGACTGACCACGTTGAAGGAGTATTCTAAAAATACGTTTCCACTTATGCCTACGTGGATCAGCACTGGGTAACTGATAGTGGACCCGCCTGGCCCACTGGTCAGGTTTGACCAATCCATGCGCGCATAGCCTCCTCCAGCCGAAACAGTGGCGGAGCTCCGGCGAGGCTCGCCGGCGAATGACGGCATCGTTCGGAAAACGGAGGCCATCCGCGTGCTCAGGGGATCAAGACGGCCACTCCGGCGGTTGATATGGTCTCTGGGGTGGACGGAGCTGCCGGCGGTGAGCTTCGCGGCGGACGATGGTCGTCGGGCAAAGTGATTTTTCTCCCGCAATGGGTCCCGATGAAAATCGAGCAGGGGGATGGATTCATGAGGGGGAGAGGGAGTTCCTGGTGAAGAGACTGGAGAGGGGGAGGCTCTGGTGGTGCCGGAATGGCCGGGGCGGTGGCGGCGGCTGCAGTTGCCGGAGACGGGGAAGAAGGCCTCCCTCCGACGATTGTAGGCTGTGGGGTTGCCATGGGGGTGGCCTGAGGTTGCCTCCTTGCTCGAATGGGTTCGGGGGCCTCCTTATATAGCGCAACGAGGTCGGTTTGCGGCGGCCGGATAAGTTCGTCGGCGAACCGCCTCCCTGTAGCGTCAGGGCGTCGTGGCGACGACGAGATCTAGAGGACACTCGAGAGGATGAGGCTGAGCTGTTCCAGGGGCAGTTGGCGAGCTGGAGAGGCTTGGGCGGCACCGACCTGGCAGAGGTGCGCTGCGGACGCCGGCGTGCCGCCAAGGGCTCTGGCGGCGGTGCTGCAGGGCACCAGGGCTGCTTGGCGTGTTGCGGTGAGAACGGGAGTGCGTGGCACGGCTCTGTGGGGTGGGCAAAACCAGGGGCGCGACGTGGCGGCTCGGGCGCGGCACATGCAAAACGCGCGCTCTGCTCGCGCCCAGAGCACGCACGGGACGTGCTCGACGAAATGCCAGGGCGTGTTAGAGGTCTCGAGTGAGGCTGGGAATTAGCAGATCTAGGTTATGAGTAGCTAGAAGTCTATTGGACAAGGTAGTTAGGCAAGGGAAGCAAGATCACAGTGCAAGCTAAGACTTATGTCAAAACTGGTCATGCCCACAGGGTGCTCGACAGAATGCCACATGCACCTAGGCATTTCTTGGAGTGGTCAAATCTCCCAGAGTGGGGTCTCTTTAGATGAAAGAGAGGGTGGTGAGGTTAGTTTGTCAAAAGAGGAAACTTGCTAGTGCAAGTTTTGCAAAACTTCATTTCTGGATAGAAAGAACAGGGCATGATTGCATGCACTAGAATTGCTCCAATGAGTCCAACCTCTTGGACTTAAGGTTTTAGCAGGAACGGCTACAAGTAGGAAAAGGAATCACAACAAAAGGAGCAAGTTAATATATAGCTGTAGTACAATCCATCCAGTTGGACCAGAATGAAGATGAGGATGGTTCACTCAATTTTTCTAAAGAACATCACTAGGTTTTTGCAAAAAGATGATTAATATACTCCTGTTGACATCCCAAAATTTTGGTAGAAGTTTTAAAGAAATATTTAAATAGGTTGTAGTGCAAAACTGTCCTCTGGACCAGATTTCAAAACTTGGTGTAGAACTCAAAATATTCAAGTAATGAAATATATTTTTGTATAAAAGTGTTTTATAAACATCACACGACCTCTCTAAATTTTGGTGGAATTTTTAAATGAATTTATCAAAGGGTTGTATTGTAAAAGAGGCCTTAAAGCTTAGAAAAATCATTTTTCAATAAATAAGGCATCAGGGAAAAATAATTATGCAAATAATCCCACTGATAAAAGAATTGTTTTATTTGAGAGG